CATTGTTGGAGGCAACCCGCTCCTGGTTAGACCAATCGCCTCTACCAAAACCGGTCCGATTGGGTCCCACCATTTGTCCCCTTTTAGAGCTACCTGCCAAAGTAGGACTCATGTCTTCCCACTCAAACTCCTCTTCTTCAGCATTCTGCCACGTCAGCACACCACCTTTACTACCTAATCCCTTTGTGTTTAAGTTTTTCCCATGGTGATGATTCTGATTAATCATTTTATTTCTTTCATCTGTCCCATAGCACTAATCAAAGCCCTTGTCTTTGAACATCAAATCCATTACTTACAGTTACACCATGGTGCCACTGCCACCGCCACTAGGTGGTCATAACCATAGCCATGATTGATGTGTGATGTGATGCAACTTCAACCACTCTTTTAGGGGAATCAATCATGGGAAAATCTTCAAGAGCTGGTGATGGAGGTCTTGTATGACCATGACCAAATAGAGTATGACCTAGTTGACTAGTTGACCCTATTGACTGTCCATTATCAGTCTCGTATTCATCAAATGCAGTTGAAGGCTGTCCAAGACTCTTTGGAGTTGAAATTGTTCGAATGTTGAAGTTTCTGCAAACGATTGTAAGATATGTTATATAGTTATACACTTATACTTATGTAGTGTTTGGTATGCAGTAATCAGAGAGGGAATGGAATGAAGCATTACTATGGAATGAAAAAGATCTCTTTTTTGCCATTAAGGAATGGAATGGAGCATGTGCTTCCGTCTCAAAAGACTGAATTTCATTATAGGGGAGAGGGGAACTTTTTTTTCATTGCTTACAATGGAACAAAGTTGTCCCAATGGGAATCGAAATGTAAACAATGAGACAAAAGAGAGTTTTTCAATCAAGAAAGCTTACAAGTATCTGTAGATGAACTTTCAAGCTGACGTCTTGCCTCCAAATACTTTGGATTGACATGTATACCATGAGCTGGTTTTGGGGATTCAGCATCTTTTAAACCAGAAGATTGATAACTTGGTGAAGGGGAAAACTGTAACTGAGATTCAATCTTTCGAAGAACAGAAGCTGGGAATACTGTTGACCATGTACCAAAAAGATGACGCATGGAAGGATGCAGACTTGGGTGCACTTGTCTGTATGCTGCACAATAGACCTAAAGGAACAAGTCCATCACAAAATGAAGAGTAATAGGATCATATTTCTGAAACTGTAATCTGTTTAACTGTGTAAATGTGACAAAATTTTAAGGTACTAACCTCAGGCAAGCGTGCAGAAAAGTGTCTCACATATTCTCTGCCAATATTTTTGACAATACTGTCCAGAAGATATAAAGAAGGAAGTTTTTGCTCAACTGGAACCTAGGTCACAAAGTAAACACAATAAACTCAAATAAAGTTCAAAAGAAACCTCCATTTTTGTTAAATAATGAGGGTCCAGCTCTTTATGTTTGCTACTGAGTTCCATGCTTTATTAGCTTCTTTTCAAGTCCTTTAATCCTAATATAGGTGGTTGGGATAAAATGGCTGTTGTTGTAAGAAAATAGCTCTCTTCTTCTTATCTAAGTCAACAACTTTAATGAACTTTTAAGCCAGATGACCAGTCACATAATAAAATTCGATAATTGGATCCACAGGGTGAAATTTGGCATTCAGAAATCAGCACAACATATTCCATAACTCACGACTGATAGCAAAGACAATCATGAATATACAGAATATTGGATGATTGAATAGTGTAAGATAATTTCTACAGAAAACCTAACCAGATCTTCAGAACTTCAATCCCATAAGTAAACAGAACAAACTTACCTCAATAATTCGAGCACAAATTGCGTCGGCAATGCCCGCACCATGTTCTCTCTGTTCCCCAGCGATTATCGTGAGATCAGTAATAATTGGCTTCGAATTAATAACCAACTCCGATAAAACAACTTCATATAACTCTACAATTTCTTCAGTACTAAGCAGTGGAATTTCAATATCATCGTCTCCCCCGCTAGAAACCCTAATTTCTTCCTCTCTTTCCTTCAACAAAAGCTTGAAACGATCAAGAATCGGAGTTAACGACTTCTGACTACTGTTGTTCGGCAACCCCCGACGGAATCATTCGGTGCTGGTCTGTAACCGATACTTCTACTACTCAGAAAACTCGCACCCTCCATTGGGATTGGGTTTTTTGGCGTTCAAATGGATATTGTTTGAATGGTGCTTTGAATTAGGGTTAGGATTAGGGTTAAAGTTAGGGTTAGGGTTTTGATGAAGGTTTGAGAGCTGTAGTTCATGGCTTAAAGCATTGCGTCTGGAGGAGAGGGAGCGAGAGTTTTGGGAGGGGAAATTGCAGTTGCAGAGGGACGAGGGGTCGATGCGTGCATCTGGTAAATATGAGTAATTTATATTTTGAGCCCTTCAAATTTCAAGTTACGCATAAAAACATTGGATTTTTAACTTATTTGTTTAAAAGATGTTGATTAAAATAACTTCTATAAACAAACTAATTAAAAAAATAACCTAATTATATCGGTATTTGAAAAATAGCTATTTTCTCCTAAATACGGCATTTCAAACTAGATGTGTCTGTTCCAAAGTCAGTGTTTGTCCATGAGATGTGACGTAAAAGAATTCTGAAATGTATAGGGTATATATACTTACATTGTATGGGATATTTTGGAACGAACATTGTACATTCTGAAATGCACGTACTGACATCTTACATTTCGGATGACATGTGGAATGTAAGAGTATTCCGGAGTTACAAAAATCATCATTTTATTTTCTATACTCATTGTTTTTGCACTAAATTTCTTCATTACTCATTTCGCGAGCACTACACATCCATGATTTGCAACATTTATGCATAGTTAGATATCTTTTTGGAAAATCTAAGATGAGTTCGTCAAATCGAGTTTATGAAGAAAGTTTTGCAAACCTACATGTTTACTTACATAATCTTGAAAGAACCAATCTTGCGGGTTCTACCCACATCAAGAGAGATGTGAGGGACTGTTTTGAGTTTTTGTTTTATTTCTTTGGGATATCGTAAAATACTTTTGTAATATATCACTTGTTTGTTTGCGGTTATAATTTCACTAATATTGTTATGATTGATTGTGTTGTTATTTAGACTCATACATTTCTAAGTTGCATGTTACCAACGATATTCCTTGATAGTGTCCCTCTTTAAGAGAAGTATATACACATAATGTTCATAACAATTTGAATAAACGAAAACCATTAAGCCTTGCCTATAGCCTACGTTTTTTGGTATGACACATAATGTCGCATCTTGGTCTAATAAGGCTAAAGGAATGTATTATGAACGCTAGTGAAGTAGCCTTCATAACCAATATTTCTAATTACACTCACATTCCCTTAGTCATGTCTTTCCAAATTCATGTTGTGGATATTAATTTTTGAATTTTTTTTTTATAAAATTGATATCTAGGACTAGAATTACTCGACGAGTCGAACCTTTGTTCTGGAAGGCATGCAAATCTTATAGCATGTTTGATTTCTAAGAAAAATTGACTAAGTTACATCAATTATTCCTCACTCAGCGTACCTTTATTATTGCATGTATGGTTTTGAAGAAAATTTAGCAAAAGCCTTTTTTCCTAACACTCATTTCCATATAATAGTCAATTGATATTTCCCGATTGTGTGGCCATGATTTTGCCAAATTTTGTATGAAGTTTTGTATTTGAAAATTGGCTAAAATGATAATCTTGATGTGAAGTACACTTCTTTGTGATTGGTTTATGGGTACATGAATTCTTGATGTTAATGATGGGTTTTAGGTAAAACAAATAAACTAGAAAACAATTCCTAAGTTCACATGCAACCTACTTTGGATCTATGTTTTAACTATTGAACATACAACTTTGAATTGCAAAATAAGAACCCTATATAGGAGAGAGGCTAATTTCGAAATTAACAAACTAGGGTTTAGGGTTTACATACCTTTCAATTGTTATAGCAAACAATTGATAATCCTCTTGATCTTGATCTTGATCTTCTTGGAAGCTTAGCACCACAAATGTAATGCCTCTAATGGAATCACACCCAAGAACTAGCAAGAAGGAAACTTGGAGGAGAGAGGATGGAGAGAGTATGCAATTTCGGCCTTAGGGTTTCTTCCAAAGAAATCAGTACCTCAAATGTGAGCCAGGAGGCTCCTTAAATAGCTGAGGGATCTAGGGTTTAGGGAAAACCCTAGTTATCCTTTGCTTAGGGCCTAAGCAAGATCCAAGGGCCTTTACTGGACCCCTTGGACGAATTCTCTAGGGTTTCCCCTAGGGTTTTCGTCCACCCCCTTCCAAGAGAGTTCTGGATCCTTCCATTCAACTATCAGTTAATTGCAAACTAGTCCCTGCACTTTATAATTAATTCTTTTAACCCTAAAATCAATTCTGATTAATTTCTGGCTAACAATTAATTAAACATAATGATTTCTAATTAATATATTAATCCATTAACATATTAATAAATCATTTATATATTAATTTATTAATCTTATAAATTAATATCTCTCCTTTCATAATTTCCTTGTCCAGTTGCTAGGTTGAGGGCAACCCAAAAGGATTGTGCTGCTATCAATTCAAGTACATACCAATTATAGTTATGGGCTTAGACACCTAATCCAACAGTCTCCCACTTGGATAAGTCTGTAACTATAATTGCTAGTATGCCTTCTAAATTTGACCAGCAAATTGTAGCTTCCAAAAGCTGCTGCCGAACTCTGACCTAGTCAGTTACGTGTCCTAAGATAAGTGATCATATAACCCTTCGTTCTGCTTGATATCCCCAGACAAAAGACATGGAATGTAATCAATCTCTTTGTCCAAAATCTATGTTTCCCGATTCCTGATTTGTGATGATGTAGGACTTCTATTCGAACACATCAATTTAGTCCTGGCTGGGCCCAGCACATAAGTCAACACCAAATCATCGAGGGGCCCACAGATATCGCTTTTCCTGTTAGGGCAAAAGGAACGAATAAACGTTAACTCATGTGCTTGTATCTTTTACTCATCAAATTATGCATGACAATACGTTTTATAACACCAAGTTACTGATGCGTTTTCGTATCACCAATGCACAACCGACTTGTAAATTACAACTCATATATCTTCGTTTCAAGATTATAAGATATTATCGTCTCAGTATTACTCGTGATGAATTCCATGAAGTAATACTCTGAGCGAGGGTTTATCCAATACTCAAATCTCAATTTCTGAGTACTCATGAACGTTGCAGCAATTCTATTGCCATGTCTATCCTTAGACAATCTGCAATCCAATTCATGACAGTCTTAATTCACTACTTACTTCCAAGAGTACGAGCGACTGTGGAGTTTGAATAATCTCATTATTCAGGAAGTAAAACATGCAAAAATGAAACACAATAATAAACAATTGACAAAAGGTAGTAGCCAAGCTTATAAATAATACTTTATTATTTAATCACCAAAAGTCAATTACATTTACTTTGTTACAAGTTTCAAAAACTAATCTAACTACTAAAACTAATATCATCTTTCAGTCCTATGCTCCGAGCATGCTGAATATGCTTAGCCCTACTCAGACCCTTTGTGAGAGGATCTGTTGGGTTATCTTCAGATGACACCCTCTTTACTATAAGATGGCCTTCTTATACTCTATGTCTGATGAAATGGTACTTTCTGTCGATATGTCTGGTCTTACCATGATCTCTCGGTTCCTTTGTCAAGGCAACCGCTCCTTCATTATCGCAGAACAGTTCCATAGGCTCCTGGATGGTTGGAACAACTCCGAGATCCCCGGTGAAGTTCCTCAACCAAGCTACTTCTTTCGACGCTTCACTTGCTGCTATGTACTCTGATTCACAAGTAGAATCAGCCACCGTATTTTGCTTGGAACTCTTCCAAGTGACTGCTCCTCCATTCAGTAAAAATACCCAGCCCGACTGAGAACGGAAGTTATCTCTATCCGTCTGAAAGCTGGCATCACTGTAACCATCTACTCTCAAAGTATCACTGCCACCAAGCACAAGAACCCAGTCCTTGTCCTTCGCAAATACTTGAGTATATTCTTAACTGCTATCCAATGAGCTCTACCTGGGTTTCCCTGATAGCGACTGACCATGCTCAAAGCAAATGCCACATCAGGGCGAGTACATGTCATAGCGTACATGATCGATCCGACAGCGGAAGCATAAGGTACACGACTCATGTCATCTATTTCAACATCTGTACTCGGGCATTGAGTCTTACTCAATTTGGTATTGCTCTGGATAGGTAGCTCTCCCTTCTTGGAATTTTCCATACTAAACCTCTTTAGTACCTTATCCAAGTATGTGCTCTGACTAAGTCCAATTAGTCTCTTCTTTCTATCTCTCAATATTCTAATCCCAAGAATATAGGCAGCTTCTCCAAGGTCTTTCATGGCAAAACACTTTCCAAGCCAAGACTTAACTTCTTTCAAGGTTGGAACGTCGTTACCAATGAGTAATATGTCATCGACATATAACACCAGAAAAGTTACTATACTCCCACTAGCCTTGATATACACACATAACTCATCTTCACTTCTAGAGAAACCAAACTCTTTGACTTTCTCATGGAAGCAAAGATTCCAACTGCGAGATGCTTGTTTCAATCCATAAATGGATTTCTCAAGCTTGCACACTCTATTGGGGAACTTTGCATCAACAAAACCCTCTGGCTGACTCATGTAAACATCTTCAGCCAACTTCCCATTAAGGAAAGCAGTTTTGACATCCATCTGCCAGATTTCATAATCATGAAAGGCAGCTATGGCGAGCAATATCCTAATAGATTTAATCTTAGCTACTGGTGAGAAGATATCATCATAGTCAACCCCTGGGGTTTGAGTGAAACCTTTTGCAACCAGTCGAGCTTTGAATGTGTGCACATTCCCATCCATGTCTGTCTTCTTCTTGAAGATCCATTTGCACCCAACTGTCTTGCGACCTGGTGCACTATCATCCAAATTCCAAACTTGGTTGTCATACATGGACTTAATCTCGCTGTCCATTGCCTCTTTCCACTTGGAAGCCTCTGGGCCTGCCATTGCTTCCTTATAAGTGACTGGTTCATCTAAGTTTACCAGTGTTCTGTCACTTATGAATGTGTCACCATCTGAAGTAATATGAAAACCAAACAACTCAGGTGGCACACTCACCCTAGTGGATCTTCTAAGAGGTAATGAGTTATCAATTGGTTCAACAGGAACTGTTTCCTCTGGTTGAGTGCTAGTGTCATCTAAGGTTCCTTCATTGGCTGACTCTTGAATTTCTTCAAGGTCAATAGTGCTCCCACTGTCCTCTTTGAATATGAGCTCTCTTTAAAGAAAGACTCCTCTTCGTGCTACAAAGACCACGTTCTCACTAGGCCTGTAGAACAAATATCCAAAAGACTGCTTTGGGTAACCAATGAAAACACATTTCTCACTTCTAGCTGCTAGCTTGTCGTGAGTCTCTCGTCTTACGAAAGCTTCACAACCCCAGACTTTAATATGTGCTAACGAGGGAACTTTCCCTGTCCACATTTCGTGAGGTGTTTTGGCAACCTTCTTTGTAGGGACAAGATTGAGGATGTGGGCGGCTGTCTCTAAGGCATACCCCCAGAAGTGAATAGGAAGCGAAGCCCGACTCATCATAGAACGAACCATGTCTAACAAGGTTCGATTGCGCCTCTCAGCTACACCATTTAACTGTGGTGTCCTAGGAGGAGTCAAATGTGAGACTATCCCACATTCTTTCAGATAGT